GATAGTGGCCTGGTAATAACTTTTAATGACCTGCAAACATTTAGGCACCAATAAAAAAACTCAATGAAAACGCTGTACTGGTTCAAATACAATGCATACTATCACCTTTATTGTGCTTACTCTCGATAAGGTTCATCTCGTATATTTTTGTTATATAGATAAGGATTATGTCTTTGAATTAGATAGATTGGGTAGGTGTTCTACCTTTTAGGAGTGCCACCACTTGTAAGTTTCCCTGTCAGTGGATGGGCGGAAGGGCCAAATAGTTGCGTCAGGTGTGCGTGGAGTTGCGCGCACACTGATATGACGGCGTACGTTAGCCGCACTGTATCATTGGTCGAAGTCTTTGTGTTGGTCATGAGAAGGACCATTTACCATATTTGTGGATACTCAATAACAAAAAATTTAAACAAATTTCACTTGATTGCACAAAGACTCAACAGTAATTAGTAAATTAACACAAGTTGATCTATATATATACAACCACTGTTAACTTTTATAAATACTATTAAAAGCGTAAATAATATATTTTATGTATTTTTATTTTAAAGTGATCATTCGATTTTATATTATGTTTATAAAAAAACCTTTATGAATCAAATTGTATGTATACATTTATTTATTTCAGGTGCGTACTAATTTTTGTCTGGGTAGAGSCAAAGCTTGCTAAACATGTATCGATTTAAAATTTATTCAGTTTTTGACTTATTTGAGAGTTTTTTTCCCAAAATAACTGTTTATATTTTTATCAAGAATAAATACAAAACATATTTAATTTAGATTTTGGACTAATAATTGGATTCACAATAAAGATATTTTGCAAAATTGTTATTGCTATATGCATATAATATACCTTAGGGTAATCATAGCTATGATTATAGGATATAATTAAATATTATACTATCAAATAACCTTTTATTTGTTTTAAATTTACTATAGGTGTGTGGTGTTGCAGCACAAATAATAAATAAAAGTTAAAACACACAATATGATTTTATTATTTTTACTATTATTTTTAAATGTTAAATGAATATTTCATTTACTATAAAATGTATCGGCTTGACTTTTTTTTAAACATACACATACCCAAGGGCGTACACACGAGCTTAGAGTATAACCAATAATCTATTATAATTATTATAGTATTAGCTATATAAAATATTACATAATTAAGTTTTACTCCACCTTTTAGTATGATGATTTTTCATACAACACTCATTATTTTGGAATAGTAAATATTGAATAATATCTGGTATAAGAAATATGAACGTATATCATATTAAGTCTTATAAAGGTGAAAATATTTTTWAAATCTTATAATATAAGGAAATAAGATATTTAATATAGATACGTATACATATAATTATTGACAATTTTTTGGCAATGCCTGTCTATAACCTAAAATAGTTTTTTTTTAGGTGTTCTGTAGATGTGTAGTAGTAAATCTAGTACACACWTTATTTTTCAAAATTGATGAGCTATGCTGATTATTTGCTTTGTTGGTGAGCTGTTATACTTCAGTTTTCCCCACGAAACAAGAATAGAAATTGTGTGAATTTTGCTCCTTAATATACTMACTAAGCTCCAGATATTCGTAAGTAAATTGGAGTACAAGGTTCAAGCATATCACTATAGGTCCGATGGCACCCAAAGGACATTATACAAAATCATAGTCATGACACTTTTCAGCCAAAGACCGGTCAAAATATCTCCAAAAAAATAGAATATTATAAAATAATATATTATTTGCCTTTTTTTTAACAGATTATTTTCAAATAAGTTTTTAAATACTTTTCAAAATATGTATCTATTCTGTATTTGTATTTGAATTCTTTTAAAAA